CTCCGTACTTATTTCTGGAAAATTTCAATATTTACTACATTTCCATGGCGTCATTCAACTGATGTTTAACCTGGAACCGTGTCCAATTTGTTAAAAAAAATACTTAAGAATTTTTACTAGAACCGTCTTTTTACTTAACTGTAGCGCCTTGCTTTTGGTATAAGGAATTTGTAGCCAAAACACCGGAAGTATTTACTTAATCAGGCCACTAATGTATAATAAAAAAGAGTATACTTAATTTTAATCATATTTCTAAACAAAGATGTGGACGCGCTATTAAAAAATTACAGATATTATCATAAAAAATTGGTATGTGAATATATGTTAAAAATACTATAATAAAATACTGCGAGTAATACACACTATTATTAATGACAGGCTCTGGTATAATTTGAAGTGGAGTATCATTTAATCCATTTTTGTTAATCATATCCGGCGTTGGTGTTTCTCTTGCAACAGCGTGTAAAATAAAAAAAAAACAAGCAACCTCGACTAACGACTAAAAATATGATTGCAACACGGCTAGTATCACCTACATAAATTGCTTGATCAGATAAAATCTTACATATGAGGTATAAATATGATATGTATGATTTAATACACGAGTTTCATAATATTGACAGTATGTTGACGAATATCCTACCAATGAGAGCCAGCAGGTATGAAAATAATTATCAAAGAAAGAATGAAATTATTTGAGAACAATACAAAATAGTGTTTGAAAATTTGACGGTTCCTGAGATTTCTTTAGAGGGTTGGAAAAGGTCTTTGAGTCAGAACCAGTACTTTGATTTTAGGTAAAGGTTGCTTTGAGATGGGGACTATAGGGCCTCCCAAATTTGTTTGGAGGGTTGGGAAAGTTCTCTAACAATTTGGGGGGGAGAGGTCTCTGAGATTAGTTTGCATGGTTGGAAAAGGTCTTTGACTAAGATCCAGCATTTTTATTTTAGGAAAAGTCGTTTTGGGATGGGGTCGGGGGAGGGGTCTACGAGATGGTGATTTATATTTGTTTGGAGGGTTGGAAAAGGTCTTTGAGCCAGAATCTGCATTTGTCTACTACTAGTATCTGTAAATCTTGCTGCACTTTTCGTAATATCATTGGCCAAAAATAGTATTGAACATTTTATACTTCCGGAGAATAATAAAGTGAAAATGAAAAACTGAACGCAACAATAAGACCGATTCTTCTTCAAGATGTTACGGCAGTAATTAGTACTTTCTCAAGCAAAACAAATTATAGACAAGCCAAGACACATTAATAGAGTCTGGATGACGGTCAGCCTCTTCCCTGAAGCATTTAAAGTTGTCATCAAGTTTTGGAATTTCCAAATGAAAAACTATATGTCTTAGACTCATCTTAAAATAAGCATATTTGTCTCCAAAGATACTGACCTGAACATTTAATCTATAATCTCAGAAAAAATCATTAACCTATACTTTTAGAGAAATATTAACTAATGTTGTTTACAAAAAAAATGACTATGGTCATGTACACCATGAGCTTGATTCTGGACAAGGCCAAATGCATAATGCATATATACACAAGTCATTAAGAAAAGACAACAAATAATACAAATTATTATTAAACTATTTAGACATTTCTGTGATTGGGCCTGAATCCCCTAACCTTCTTGTTGACCTAATAACGTTGCATTTCTTATTTCCTTTATTTATAGTTAGTACTCTGTCACGACCATGCATTTAAATTACACGTGTTAAAATTTGGATTCTCTTAATTCTTTTTTTCATTTTTATTTTATTTTTATATCGTTAAATATTATTATTTTTATTGTTATTATTATTATTATTATTATTATTATTATTATTATTATTATTATTATTATTATTATTATTATTATTCTCATTATTATTATTATTATTATTATTATTATTATTATTATTATTATTATTATTATTATTATTATTATTATTATTATGTTAGAAACAGCGTGTTTACTTTAAACGCAAATGTGATTCGTGTAAGCACGAATTTCGCATGAAGGTTTTGTTGTTGCAAGTAAACAGTCTGGAAAAGCTATGTATATAATTGGCTATGACCACGTCATTATTTGTTTACACTATTGTAATACCCAGATGTGATTTAGAAATCACACGTGTCCTTCGTGCGTGTGTACATGGTGTGACGTATTAACTTGCTTTAAATGCTTATTTGCCTGTAATAAATAATAAGTCTTGATCATAAGTTGAGAGTCACATCATAACATCTTATAGAATTTCTAATTCCTGAAAATGGTTTTCTGTGCTGGAAAGAGTTGTTCGTTTGTACGCATGAGGAACAACATGTGTATAGTTAGTTGTGGTAGCTGTACTTCATCTATTTTCTAAATAAATAATTTCCCTGGAGAAAAAACACTACTTGCTTTGGACAAATACATTTGCTGAAATTGTTTCTAAATTAAAAAGCTCCGGTAGCCTAGTGGATAGAGCGTCCGCCTCGGATGCGGGAGGTAGTGGGTTCGATCCCCGGTCAAATCATACCAAAGACTTACATCCGCCTCGGATGCGGGAGGTCGTGGGTTCGATCCCCGGTCAAGTCATACCAAAGACTTACAAAAATGGTACTAACAGTTACCTCGCTTGACGCTCAGCGTTAAGAGGTTAGTGTTAGGACTGATCGGCCTGATGTCAGGATAATGTGACTGGGTGGGACATCATGCTGTATGTCTGCGGCATGATACCCCAGTGCTAGACATCACTAAAAACTGCCACACTGCAGACATCGTAGCGATATGACTGAAAAATTGTTAAAGCTACGTTAAAAAATTATAATCACATCACATTTCTAAATTGGAACAGAACTATACAAATTTTGATTCACAGTGAAAATACTGGACATTTTGTGTTAAACTTCGTGTGACGTCATCATCCGCCATGTTGGAACTGAGCTGAGATTCAGACTATATCAGTTACAACTGCTTATTCACAGGACTTAAGTGTTTTCATAACTTTAGAACAAATTTTTGCATCTTCTTCCTAAATAGTAAGTCATGTTTCATATATTTACCTTTTCTTGGTTTTTTGCCAGGGAAATAAATTATTTTTGTTATAATTTACAAAGCTGGTTGTAGTCACTCTTTGTGTTACTTTGAACGAGCCGATACGTAGCAACTCATTTTCGATTTTTAAGTAAATTTAATTAATTATTTCTATAAGTTTGAAAGACCTTTCATCTTTAATGTTTATGTTTATATATATAAATAAAATTCATGCATGTTTTAGCTAACGTATTAACAGATGACGTCTGTGAAACTCCTGAGTACGTCATTTTCAATGACACGACGGTAATCGCTTTTTTTTAAAGTAAATTAAAAACTGCCACTAATGTTTCAGACAATATGCCTATTTTTCAAACATGGTGAACTAGGGCTTTTTCAATAAAGAAAAATAATGGAATAATAACTTAGTCAACCAGTGTTGTCTGAAAAAGCAAAATGGCGGAGGTTCAAGACTTGCTTTAGTGACCTTTCTAAAATAAAAACTAAAAAACCAATAAATTTGGTGGTGGGTTATATGTTGGTGGGGTATTTTTGGCGTGAAAGTAGTAATTGTGTCCTTTTATTGATTAATATTTAACAGACTCTCTTTATTCTAAAATAGTTTGTTTTAACAACATATCATTTCAAAATAAGGAAATATTAACGTGTTATTTCCAAATATATTTTCTGAAGAATTGTTATTTCCAAATAACCAAGTGTTATTTAAACAGTATTTAGTTTAAATTAAAATAGTATTTCTAAATAATAGAACAGTGTTTCGAATTACAAAATAATATTTTAAAATAAGGGAATAAATATCGCAAAACAACAAATATCATATCGTCGAATGAAAATATTTAAAATAAAAACGAATCAGTGTTTCGTTTAAGTTACATACATCGTCATAATGAAACAAAAATATTTGCATCCATGTCATAAAAGGAACTTACACAAAATCCAAGAAAAACTGATCTCCACGCGAAGTTTAAACAGCAGATGTGACAAACGGCAATTAGGACAAGTGACAGGGGGTATATACGTTCGTGTCGGGGAACAAGAAAGGACGTTGTACGCAACGAAAACGTATTGCCGTTTTCTAGATCAGCTAATGGCTAATGTGGGTCGAACGATACAGATAGAGTACATTTTGCACACTTGTTATCGAGGAAAAACGAGTAGTTATCCAATTATATATATATATATATATATATATATATATATATATATATATATATATATATATATATATATATATATATATATATATATATATATATATATATCACGCATCGTACAGTAAATTCCTATAATGTTAAATACAATATTGGCAAATTTCCGCGCGGTTTATATTTCACCATTTTATCGACTTAATCACAAGTCGAGCAATTTTGACATCGCGCGATGTATTCAGATATTTGGATAACTATATCATTATAGTGAATGAACACGCAGATTTTCAAAATCAATATTTTCTTGCGAACAATTCTGCAACACAGGTGTGTCCTTATCTACACTGAACTAGGTAGATTTTTAAGAGGCGTTTGTGGCGATTACGTCGAAAATGTCAGAAATGATTATCTATTGACTTTCTTTTCTGCGCAGAATGCCGATGTTCATCCTCCTGAATAACGCTGGCCTGCAATGTACAAGTTGAAAATGTGAAAGTAAATAATTTGATGGTACTAGCTGAAAGATGTCACCTACTTCCAAATGCAAGGGTATGGGACGATATTTATACCCCGTTATATTGTACTAATATAACACTCGTACTCTGGTGGATTTCATCGGAAACAAAATATTACAGCTGCCGATTTTCTAATTATAAAAAGGAACAATAACAAAAGAGAAATAGACAAAGAAAAGAACAAAATTTGCACCTGGATTAACCTGTAAATAAAAAAGTATTTAGTTTTAAGAAAATTATGTCTATGACTACATTTTCCATCGGGTGGATGAAAACAATGCAAAAACTCTCCCTTGATATAGTTCCATAATGTACAGAATGCTCCGGTGGCCTAAGTGGTTAGAGCGTCCGCCTAAGATGCGAGAGGCTGCTAGTTCGAATCAAGGCTGAGTTCGAACCAAGGCCGAGTCATACAAAAGACTTTTTTAAAAATTGTTAGGAGCAGATGCACTTGTGGGTTAGGATAACATGATTGTATGGGACATGATATCACATGTCTGAAGCATGCGACATGATTCTCCAATGCAATACATCATCATAAATCGCTACACTACAGATATAGTAGCGGTATGTCTATAATTTTTAAAGCTACGTTTAAAAAAATCCCCAAAAACCAAAACAACGCAATCCATAATTGACGAGGACTGTTGCAATTGCAACATTTTCACACATCGAAAATAAAGACACCTGTGTAAACGAGTTATTGTGACATACTTTCCCTTGACGTAGTACCACGTTCCGCTATGCTAGACTGCAACATCTGAGAGCACTTGCAGAGAAACAAACCTTTTGCACTTTTAACCTGACTGCAGAAGGCTCCGAGAACGTCCAGTACACCGGGTATGACTGTTAACTCCCCTGTAGTTATACATAATAGCTATCAAAGCACACTAGACAGACGTTTGTCATAAATCTTGAAAATATGTTTCGAGAATCTTTTTACTTTATCTTTTCTCTATGACCTATGGTTTAAAAAAAAGCTTGCATGATATAGGGTCACGTTGCTTTGTTTGTGCATATGCGTATGGTCTACTGTGCATTTGTGATATTGTTTCTCCTGGTTATTTTTGTTAGTAAAGTTTATTCTGTGTACTAGTATCTGTTAAGATGAATTATAACGTACAGTTTCTGCGGTTATCATATTGAGTCATATTTCCAGTATTTGGTGTAATAAGCAAAATGGGTACGTACTTAAACCGTAACTGCTACACTCATTAAATCGTAAAAACCAGATAAAAGTCAATCTGACTCAACTCGCTGTCTACTTATCATAACTAATCTGATAAGCAGTAAGAATGTTATGCTAACCTTTGCAATTGTCAGCAATTTCTAGTTTTAGTAATATATCATAATTTTTATTGTTGTTTTAAGGAGTTTGGGCTGGGTGGGAGTGCTGTTGTTTTGTTTTGCATTTTTTTTGCCTTTTTCTCCCTGAAAGTTATTGTTCGGAACAATGTAATCAGAATAAAAGTTATTCATCGGGTATTCCTAGAGCGTTTCCTCAAACCGGAAGAGATTATTACAGCAGTGAATGTTATAGCTGTAATTTGATTGGTGAATAGAAAGGTCGCGAGTTGGTAAACAAATGTATCGCACGTGTTCTTGCTGTGTTTGCGTCGTTACTAGACGACTAACGCTCTATAAAAAAATATTATGCCACATAAATCTATTAGACTAAATCGAAAACCAAAACAACCGTCTCAACACAGGATATAACTGTGGAACATGAAGAAAGCAAGCTCCCATTGGCAGAACTTTCACGTCTCTGGGCGTAATAAATACTAACCTTAGTCCGTAAAACTGGGTTTCACCAAAACTGAACATTCCGAACTGGGCAAAATGAGCTAAAAAGAACATGCTCGTCATCGTAATGAACAGTTTGATTTAAGAGAGGATATTACTTTAAAATCTATAGAAGTTATTAAACAAATTAATAAAACGGATTCTCTCGTTCCAGTTCTAATTATGCTACTCTGAGGTCGGGAAGTCTGACACGCATAAAAGACTAATACATTTTGAGGGTGGTTTGAGTGGAATAAAAATGTCAGAGTATTTTCCTATTACAGGTTTAACATAACATTGCCAAAAGGAAGAGTTGGATTGGAATGAGTGGGTTGGGGATAAACGGATTGTGGACGTCGAGTCAGTCCCCAGTTACAGGCCACAATGCCTATCTGCTTACTGTGTATAAAATGGTGCAATTATTCTGATGTAGGTTCCGTTCATTCACACTGATAAAAACCGTAGTAAAGTAGTAAAAACAGGAAAGTATTATACCATTCTAATGTAGTTTCCTTTTTGAACTGCTTCTGACACCACCAATTTACCTCATCTCTCTCTCTCTCTCTCTCTCTCTCTCTCTCTCTCTCTCTCTCTCTCTCTCTCTCTCTCTCTCTCTCTCTGAATGACTGCTACGGTGGTTCAAGTAGTTAGAGCGTCATGGACACGAGAGGTTGCGAGTTCGAACCCTGGCCGAGTCATGCCAAAGATCTATAAAAAAAATAATACTAACAGCTGTCTCGCTTGACGCACATCATTAAGAGGTTAGCGTTAGAACTAGTCGACCTGGTATCAGGATAATGTGACTGGGTGGGACATGATGTTGCATGAATGCGTGTGTGTGTGCGAACACTATAAGAACTTTTCTTATTCTTTTTTTTTTTTAAATCGCCTACGCAGAAATAAGGTAGTATTTTGTGTTTGCAAACAATGACTTAAGTTTCTAATCTCTAAAGAGTATTTCAACTACTTCGGATATGTTGCAAATAATATGGACATTACGGTGCAAATGTACTGGGTGTCATCTTCGCATCAAAGAGCGTGTTTGTGTGGGTTTTTTTTTTTTTTTAGATTTTTAATGTAGCTTTAGCAATTTTAAAGTTATATGGCTATGATGTCTGCATCATGTCCCACCCATTCATATTTTCCTGACACCAAGCCGACCAGTCCTAACACCAACCTCTTAATGCTGAATGTCAAGCGAGTCTTTGTTATGATTCGACAAGGTTCGAAACCGCGACCTCTCTCGCGTCCTAGGCGGACGCTTTAACACTTAGGCTACCGGAGCGGTTACCTGAAATATAACCGAACCGATCATAACCGTTGACGAAAAAGTATCCGCAGTGTCTCACTTTTCATACCGTTGGCAAGACAAAAACACGAATGGCCACGTTGTCACATCCTTCACGAGACATTTATCTTTCAAATCCTAGTAGTTCTTTCTTTCCGAGTCACCAGTTCCACAATGCTAACACGTACTCAAGTATTTACTTCAAACTGGTGCGTCTAACTAACAAGACAGCTGATTGCAATATATGATGCAAAGTTGCCAAAAAAAATTAATTCGCCTATTTCCGCTTGGGGGTCCATGTTTCGGGGCAGGTGAATATCGCCCGTTCAAGGCTACTGGTAACGCACAATTCAGCATAGGTGGGTAGGGGATGGTAGTTTGATTGTGAAGAAAATTATAGTTTCAGTTAAATATTATCCACCATTTAGCAGTGAGTGTGTCAAATAATAAATTGTAGTGAAAAACTATTCCAAACCTTTTATCCTCATGCTGCAGCAAGTTTCAGCAATATGGAGTGTGTTGTGAAAATGACATACCACTGACACGTTCGAATAATCTATTTAGTGGCAAGATGTGGATTTTTAATAACTTGGAGAAACTGAACATGAGTAGTTTTTCTGCACATTAATTTTGCACATAAAATGGATTCTAGTCAGTCCTGAAGAACCTTAACAGTAATTCCTATTAATGGTACGATGGTTTCCATTGTCCATAAGCAGCATATGATAAAGATAACCTCCATGTAAATATGATGACATAATTCTACTCTCAAACAGTATGATATTCCCCAAAATGAGGAGTCCGAAGATTCTTATTCTCTGCTGGGGCCAGGAGTGGCCGAGTGGTCTAAAGCGCTGTCCGTTACGGATCACTGCCATCTCACCTCTGTCTGCGTGGGTTCAAGTCTAGGATTCGGCGAATGTGGATATGTGAGAAAGCTTGCCAGTAGCTTCTCGTGGGTCGGTGGTTCTTTCCGGTGATTTCCCGGTTTCTTCCTCCACCAAAAATACTGGCCGCTATGAAAAGCCTATCGTGTGCTGAAAAATGGCATTAAGCCCAACAACAACAACTTATTCTCTGCTCACGTGTCCGTTTGTACATTCTGAACGATGTATCGTACCACAGTTGGCAATTCAGTATTCTAAACTTCATTAATTATTTAATATGGAGTATAAATCTCTGACGACTTTTAGATATCCTAATAATGGGTCAAAGACAAAATGCACGAAATCTAGATCTAGTATTTTTCCTTTATGTTGGCCATTCCTTTATGTTGGCCATCAGTCACATCTAACTGCCTACTTGTATTCTGGTTTCTTTGCAAATTACTGCAGTATTAGACAGCAAAATAATATGTATCTAGTCATACAGTAAACATAAATTAAGTTGTCATCACAAATACTGGAAAAAAAATGCAACTAAAACACAACCAATACGTAGATGACTAATTGTACAAATACGTATAAATTCTTTTCTTATACGTGGCCTATTCGACGCACCGTATAATTCAATGTAGAAAAACACATGGATATCTATATACCCGAGTAGATGTCATATTTACCGCCATTAAGCATCTTGCTCTATACTGCGTTTGACAGTCACCATTAGCGACGTTCATGACCTCCACCAGAACCCTACCTAATTTCATCTTGAAAAGAACGCAGTTGCTAATACATCTTTCCTGCTTAGTTTGTAATTTCGTTCAAATTTTTCCTTTAGTTCTTTTGATTCACGCTTTTGTTTTGTGAAAGTGCCTTCTCACATACTAACGGAAATGCATGCCATAACTAGAACAGTTCTCGGATTTGCAATTGAATACAAATTGTTTTTTTTTTTTTATAATATGTATTTAATGAATGTTTTGTAATTCTCTTTGCTATTATCAGAACCGACCACAAATATGGGAAGTTTTGACTTTCATCGGGTTGCAGGTATGCATGTTATATTACTGTCGGTCAAGGGACCGGGTTGACTGGAAGAAGACTAATATGGTAGCCCCCATTACATTGCCTCGTGACGTTTGCCAGGTGCATTACATACAAGGCCTAATGTATACGAACCGGCCTAATGTATACGAACCATGTAACGATCATTAATAGTCCTCATGTAATCAGAACATCATAGTGCAAAATCTCAATACTGTCTCATAGACGTGATATATTGCTTGAAAATACAATATTAAATTGCCTATTTTAGCTCTTCTAAACACATTTTTTGCATAAAAAAGTTTGCTCCTGTGCATTGAAATGACAGGCTTTCAAGGCAATAATATATACTTTTAAACTCATTACCTGCTGTATGTGATATTTGACCATATCACACCCACCCGC